ATTGATTCTGAAGGATAGAATCATAATTGCAACGCAAAGGAACTCTATGAGTATTTGTTTGCATTTACAAAGGTCATATGTTTTTCCAAAAAATAATAATCCATTGCATAATAAATAATTTACAAAGAATCTGCCAATACTTATGTGTATATAATGGCCTAACAATTTTTATTAGCAAACGCCTGTCAGCATAAAAAAAACTTAAACTTGATGTTAAATGTCGGAATATATTTTCTAAAAGAATTTATTTTTAATTTTCAATGAAATGCCTAATCCTTAGTAACTGTTTTAAACTCTTATTACTGTACACATTGTATGAAAGATTTTCATGAACTCTTTCACCACTCATGTCACCAAGTACGTTCAGAAACTTAGATATGCCTGACCCAGGACCAGCCGTAAAAAACATACTTAAGTCTGAGAATGCTCTCAAGTCTGAGAATTTTTCTGAAATCCAAAATTCACAGACTCAGCGGCTTTCATAAAAAAAATGGAGAAAAATAAAAATTCCTTAAACCGTTTTATTCTCATATGGCTCTCAGCTGAGTAATTCTCAAGACTTGAGTTCAGATTTTTTTTGAGAATTCTCAACGTTTTATGACGGCAGACCCAGGAGGGATGAAAAATACGTCAGACATAAAAACAAGTGTAGTTCATTAATATGACCATGCGTTCCGAACTAAGAGCGAAAAAAAGAAAGGTTATAACTTTAAAGAATTTGGGCAAAATCACGATATGCTTTTGTAATTAAAACAAACTTCTTTTTAAAAAACTTTTTAAAGCTTTGTCTTTATCTAGTAATAACCATTCCAATTACATGCATTAGAAATTCAGCAACTAACGTAATCATTTTCATTGATATTTCATCGTAAAACAAAAACACTTGAAAATTCAAATTCAGGATAAGGCTAGCCCTGGGATTCGAACAAGTATGAGCGATGTCATTAAAATCACTTCATAGCTACTTGTTTAGTTACATATTCATGTCAGAGTGCTTCAATAAAATGTAAATGTGTTTATACACATTTCATAAATTGTCAGTCGGTGAAATTATTTTAAAGGGATTACATGTACAAAATCTATATGCATGTATAAGAGAGACAAAGAAAAAAAAGAGAAAGATTGGGAGGTAGATCTTGTGTCCATTGATTTGTTATATTAACAGCACAATGTGATGGTCAAGCCCTGAAGATTTCCGGCCAAGATACTCCTCAATTTAGATGAATATAGCTACACTTTTATTTTCTTTATAACAGATTTAATTGTTTAGAATAGAAAAAGTACAACACACCTTTCTTCACAATCCCTGATATGTACACACTTCCTTTAATAAAATCATTGAGTTTCAAATGCTCTTTGCTGAAATAGCTGACCATTGTGTGTTATATGTTAGTTATTTGGTAGTTATTGGGAAGAGACAACACACATTCAAATGGCACAGGTTCAGCGTGAGTACTATTCCTTGCTTTTTTTTTAAAAAAAAATCTTATTTAATCATTTTTATGATTTATAAAAAGGTCTCAAATATACTATAAGGAAAATTATATAAATTAAAAAAAAAACACATTCTTTTTAAAATTCAACTTTGGAATCATTGATAATATGTCTATCAATGTTTTATTTTATATCACTAAACCTCTTGATTTAAAAGTATCTATATTAAATATACATTCCATTGATGTAGAAAAACAAACAGTTAATAGCTATTTCTACCCAGTACATTTTCATCTTTGAATTTTTGCATGAATTAGAAGGTTAAGGTCAAGATCTAGTAAATTACTTTAGAATGGTTTTTGATGCTAGATCCAATATGACGTCATAATTTATTCAAGCATAATTTAAGTTGAAAAGAAATAATGTATAAAATAAAACTTTTTCCATGCACTCAGTCTGAAATCAGATGAAAAATAACCCCTGTATCTATATTCAATTTAAAATGAGTTCAACTTAGAAAAACGCTATTCTGAGAGACAGTAGACAATATTGCTACATTTCTTTTCTGCATTTTTCATTAAAAATAAGTGTTCAAAATGTTTTTTATCTATTTAATCAAAAAATTATTTCAGAAAACACCGTATTTTATCGAACTTTATTTGTAAAATGACATATAAAGGAAATGTTTCTCAAATTTGAATAATCTGATGGCTCATTCTTTGACTAGATCTTGACATTCACTGTGATATTTAATATGACTTAGGAGACAATGATGATAATGGTGATTTTATTTCTTATTTAAAACAGCCCCTGCAGGAGGACCTCACAATGTTGTGGTAAGTAATATTAGATTACACAATCACATCGTTAATTTTTTTTAAAATAAAAAGCTACTGTCTGATTAAAATTAAAATGAATGGGCATTCTTATTTTTTTTCAATCGTGTTAGTGTACTTCTTTTTTGATTTAAACTATATTTGATGAATTTGACTAAGTTACTCAATATTGATTAAAATATACATGTATAATTTTGTTCCCTAATGACAAGTAAGCCCCATGTCTTACAACATACAGTACGACGTACATTTATATTTCCTTTAAATTAGGTCACGCATTATGTAAAATAGCGAATGACGTCAATTAATCTGTAAACAGTGAAAACTGTCTAATCCGACACCTGTTTAATCCGACACACTGTGAATTAAGATGTTAAATTTCCTTCCCATTTTAGTATTTTCCTTGTTTTTAACACTGTGCAATCCCACAACCTGTCTATTACGACACAAAATTTGTCTCCTAGTGCATGTCGGATTAGACAGGTTTCACAGCGCAGTGAAAACTGTTTAATCCGACACCTGCTCAATCCGTCACACTGTGAATTCTGACGATAGATTTCTTTCCAGATTTACAAATTTGCATGGAATTTTACACTATGCAATTCGACACCCTCTCTACTCTGACACAGAATTTATCTTCCATAGCATGTCGGATTAGACAGGTTTCACTGGTTTGATTTCTTTTTTAGGTCACACAGCCTGTCCCCACCACGGTCGTCGTGTCTCAGCCTCCCCAGAGGAACTGGATGGTCCCTGCTATACTCACATGTTTGTGTTGTTTCTGGCCGACCGGAATCGTCGCTATTTATTCCGCATACAGAGTAAGTGTATTGTGAAACATAGCCATAATTATCATTAAATTTGTGATAGAAGCTTGATAAACCCAATTTTAAATTAAACCAGCCAAACTCGTTTAAAAAAAAACAAAGCAAAATGTGTCACTGATGAAAGCTTCTTTACTCGAATGAAAAATATATTTAGGCTTTTTTTAAAAAAGTTTTATTTGATGCTAAAAAGAGATTATTTTTCACTATTTATCGTAAAATTTTCCTTAATTTTTTCTATCGTAGTCTTATATATAATTTTTTTAGAGACGAAATGATTTTTAATAACATGTTAGATTATAAATGGATTAGAGATAGGTAATTTTTAATTTACAGGCAAAAGAAGCAGCATCTAGTGGTAACGTTTTAGAAGCGGAAGTTCAGTCTAAACGCGCGATAGGTAATTTTTTTACAGGCAAAAGAAGCAGCATCTAGTGGTAACGTTTTAGAAGCGGAAGTTCAGTCTAAACGCGCGCGCCTATTTGTCATCATCTCTCTGGCAGTCGGGGTCGTACTCTTTGTAATCATAATAATTGTACGCGTATCAAGCCCTAGCACGAATCAATACTAACGTTTTAACCATTCCTGCTAGAGGCATTTAAACTCCGACATATTTTTTTCTCAGAAACATTCTTAGCTAACATTATTTTGTATTAAATACATCAAAAATTAAACGTCTGTTTTGTTAAATTTTTAATATAAAATTCTGAATTGTCAATGAACTTGTTTGTAAAATCAAAAGTTTTTTTTTTTACAAACTGATTTTACAATTAACTAGTTAGTAGATTTACCCTTTCATTTTTGTTGAAAAACAGCTTCCAGGTATGTGATATAGTCTGCACTTATTAAAAGAAAAAGCCTAGAAATCTTACATGTAACATAGAGAAGGAATGCATTAAGTGTTCTCAATGTTTTACGTAAAGATGCTATAATTGCTTTTGGTATTTTTGAGATTGTAATTTTTAAATGCTCTTTGGTGTTGAAAAGTACAAACATCTGATTCGCACTTTTTGATTATTTTGTTCCGAAGTACTCCTTCACTACTCTGAATATTTTAGTGCGAAGTAAAGAAAGTTTTCGTAGAAAATGAATTGAAATGCGATTTTATCCATGTTTAAATATTTTAATATAATTTAGGAATCCAGTATAAGTATGATGAATCGAATTAAATTTTTGAGCTTTGAAGCATAAAATTAAAAAAAAAAAAGAAATATGATTTTGAAGTATGCCAAACTAAAACAATTGTTAAAAATTCATTGACACAAACAAGTGTATGTGACAAGCAATTTGACCGTCTTATCTTATATCTAAAAAAAAAAAGATTAAATTGTTTTCATATATATGAAATGTGTTTTGACTTATTAAAGTTATATGTCAACTTTTTAAGCGTGTTGAAGCTCTTGATTTTTGTTGATGCAACAAGTTTACATAGATAAATGTAACCAACTACATAACCAATGTCATTGGGGGTTAATTCATTCCTTCATTAGTCTAGTAATAAAAGGTTATCAAGTTAAATTTACGACAGTTATAATGTTACATATGAAAAATTGTCAACTTAACCTCTTCCCGTGCAAAATCAAACTATCCCCTACAGGAAAGTATTCCTGATACTTCCTAAAAAATACAATGCTGCATTCATTGTGAGCCTTCGTTCTGAACACCAATCCCAATCAATTGCTTCCGCTTCTGTACAACTTGGTTATACGTATTAACATTATTGATATATTCCTTGTTTTCTAGTATTAATATAGTCACGAGGGTTGTAAGAGAAGTACATAGACCATGTCTATTTGGCTTCTTTGCCATGATTTTGAAAAAAAAAATACAAGAAAGGGTAACAGCCAAATCTGACCCCTTAATTGAGGTAAAAATCAGATGACTATTAAAATTGTAATAATTTGTAATGAAGAACTTTAAAGAATGTTTGCATTTTAACCAGCAATATTTGGGATTTAAAGCTTCCATGGAAGCCACTGGAGGGTACAGAAGTAGATCATTTTCCAAAAATTCCTCAATACTGGTAAAATTTTATCATATTTGAGATTCTTTTTTCTTCGGAAAACACGGGGAACAAGCCTGCCTATCTGATACCTTTTTATCAAAATGCATCTTTCTCTGTAATAATTAATTAATAAATTAATTAATTTCAGTTTTAACGTGTCATTTGATTGGTTAAAAGGTTTTATCTATTTCGTATAACATAACTTGCATACGTCACAATGAGTTACGTCAACAACGTATCACTCTGCTTGACGTTACTTTTGAAATAATCCTTACTTTGAAGCCTTTTCCTGGAGGAAATACTGTCTCATTGTCTACATTGAAATTGAATTATAAGAAATGAAGCTTATTCCAACTTATGTTATCCAATATAACAAAACTTCGCGGTTTATAAAGCGTAAACTGCCCCAAGTTATGTTATATCGGATAACATAAGTTGAAATAAGCTTCATTCCTTAAACAACTTTTAAAGTCCAAAATCTGTAACTAGAATATATATAATATACACTGTATAATAGCATTAAAATTTTACGCATTTTTTTCTGATGACTAACAAAAAATAGCAGAATTTACGAACGATATTAAGGCCAGATCGGATTTTTTTTAAAGAAAGAAGGATATGGAGATAATGAACAGTATCTAATCTCAAAGTCCATAAAACAATACAAAATAGGAGCAGAGAAAACACGGACCTCCGAAACATCAGAGGTGGGATCAGGTCCCATGGAGGAGTGAGCATCCTCTGATGACCGGTCACACACGCCTTGTGCTCCTTGTCATGATCAGGAAATAACGAAAAAAAAATCCGTCGCAAATTAAGTGTATAAATAATGGACTGACAATTAGTATGTTAGTCGCCAGTAAGCATTTTGTTCAATGAAAGTTAAATGCTTTTAACTCAAAGGAAGTAAAATACAAATATGGTGCCCAAAAAATAAAAACCTGGGCTGTTTTGTCATGGCAAATTTAATTAATCATGACAAAAGTGCATAACATCAATTTGAATGTACATTATACACTTAATTTCGACATGATAACACAATACTGGCGGTCCAGTATATTATACATTTATACATTTATATAGTCCATTACACATTTAATATACTAACAAATAATAAATATTCCCTCACTCTGTACACATTAAAAATTCATTTGTTGTTTAAAAATAAAGAAAGCTAAGGTTTTTTTTATTGTTAGGATATTAAAGAATTAAACAACAATATTCAAACCACTTTAACCAACATTTTTTACACAGGCAGATGCTAATTTGACCAGAGTTAACCACCATGTTACAGGGGTTCTCTCCCATGGGCACAAGAATGCTTTTGTGTACACATGGACGGATAAGTTCGGCTCGACAGCAACATCATCATCTATACTGAAGGTTCTGGAGGATGTTGCAGAGGTATTAAAATTAAGTACATGATCATAGAACAGATGAATATTATATCAACTTATAAACTCTCTAATAATGACAACATTTATGTCTGATATGTAAACTGTAAAACAGTAATATCTGAGAAAGCATTAATGGTCAAGATATGTAGAATAAATGAACGTTTTGATATTTCTTATTTCAATAATTAATGAAAAAAAACAATTATAAACAAATTTAAAGTATAAAACTTAATTACCCTATTTTGTTACCATGAATACAAATAAGATTTTGCATATGAATTAGAGATCAACTGATAATGCATTATAAAAACATATTTTATATGTTTTCCTCTTTGTTATAAAATTTCACTTTTGTTTTCATTTCCAGGGGAGTTCACTACCACCAACCCTATACCTGCAGGCTGATAATTCTTCGAAGGACAATAAGAATTTTATTTTGATGGGTTTTCTGGCAAATCTGGTGCAACGGAAGATTTTCAGGAAGGTCAGTATTTCTTCCATTTAACAGAAACCAATTAATTCTTTTAAAAGAATTTTCACCTTTTTGAGAAAAAAAAACATACAATAAAAAATAACTTGGAAATCTTGTGAACAAATGGGGGTTTTGTTTGTGTAGTTCCATGGATGTCGCAAAAACTAATTCATTCTAGATAGGAAATAAGAGTTGAAAATTCTCAAAAACTATAAAAAGGATGTTACTCAGTATAAAAGTGTTCCATTTATAACTTCCATGGCAATGGGGCTAGAAAGAATTTGGTTTTACATAACATCGATCAATGAAAAATAAATTCTGTTGAAGTACAGCAGAGTCATGATTACAGCAGTCTCGGTGTGCGGGAATTCTTGATTTATGTAAAAAAAAAAAGTTGTTTAGATAAGGGCCCATTGAAGCCTTAAAGCATTAAAGGGTAGGCTTTCAAGAACATTCTTTTCAAAATGTTAAAAAATGTGTAAAATATCTTCATTTGCAAAACAACAGGACCATAATAAGTGAGCATTATGGTCACTTGATCTTTTGTTACATTGTAAACTATTCAACTTATCATTTTTCAGATCAAACTGTGATTCTTAATGGTCGGACACACGCACGAGGACGTGGACCAGATTTTCTCCAGAATTTCTGTCCATCTGTCCGGAAAGGACATCGCAACTCTCCCCGTCCTTCAGGGCTTGATGGCTGAGTCCTACCATCCCACTCCCCAAGTGAGGCACCTGGATGCACTCTGGCCATTCAAGTCCACAACCTACAAGACGCTGGACGTCACTTCTCTAGCCAGTGCCTTCCAGAGGAATCCAGATCCCCTCGGTCCAATCTCAAAGAAGGGGAAGAAGGCCTTTGATGCCATGGTGGGGACCTCAAGAAGTGAAAGAATGGGGGGAAGTTGTGCCAAGCCGACATTGATTTGTGGACGAGACACCTGGAGGCTGAGCGTCACATGCCATACCCCACAGTCATGCAGGCATCCAAGTTTGGGTCATTCCTGTCCAACACTGAAGAAATCGAGGCACCAGCAGCACTGGAAAGTCTCCAGCAGCATGTTTCCACCTTCTCCAGACAATCAAATGTATGTATAAAAAATGTGTTTTTTTTAATGAAACACATGAACAATTATTTTTTTTTTCTTAGTAAAGTTTATTATTTATCAACAGTATTATTAATAGATATCAGAGTGTAGAGATTTACATATTTTTTTGTGTACAATTCTTTTTCTTGAAAAAGTAATACAATTTATTGGGAAATCAAGTTCTGATTTAGTATATTCAACAATAACAAAATTTTATTTTTAAATTAGATACCTAGGTTTCCTGAATTTTGTATTCAAATACCATCTACATATCATAGAAGATGTGAGTATTATTTTTAAGGGAAGAGATGTAATTCTATTTTTAAAGTAAAAGCAGAGTTTTATTTTTCAGGTCAGAGTTGTAAAACGACGAAGTCAGTGAAACACCCTGCCACAGTTCATCATTTTACATAAATTCTCCTGTCAGTTGTTCGGACTCTTTCTGCCGAAACTTATTTGAAATAAAATTAAATTTTATCAAAATTATATTATGCCACTGTAATTCTTATTTCAATTTAATTTTGTCATGTTAAGAAATTATTGAATATGTTTATTAAAAAAAAATTCCTTTTTTTTTTTTTTTTTTTTGTCTTTATATCAGAGAGATGAAAATATTTGCAGGCACAAAATAACTTTGTCAGGAACTAAAATGTAATTAGTAAACCTAGGGCTTAAAGCATTAAAATTGACATGCATTGATAAGCTTTTAAATGGCATATCTGTTAAGGCGCAAACAAATATTTAAAAAAAAAAATAATGAACAGAAACAGAACAGAAAGACTGTAACAGATCCAAAATGCACAATTGATGGCCAATGGTTATGATGAAATGATGAAACCGAGATAGTTTTATTTTGATGAGACTGAGACCATTGGATGGACAGTCCATTATAAGTCATGATAAGATATTGGTTTAGTTAAAGGTAAAGGGGGTGTTCAAACATTCAATTTGAATCATATACATAAGATGCAGATTCAAGTGTGCTGACAAGAAGTAATTACTTAGTAATAAAAGTAGATAACGGTCATGATTTTTTGAGTGTGTTTCAAATCATGTCACACAAGGGCCAATTGTTGTATTTCATTTTGATTCAATATGTTTTCATTCAAAATGCGATTTTCATTAGCAGTTATATATTTTTTTCTTCTGATTGAAATGAACTGTTTGTGCATATTTATTCTGATAATTGTTTTTTTTTTAAATGCACATGATTTTTAAAGTTGTTTGTTATGTTAAGTTTGCTGTCTTTGTAACAAATAAATACAGATTTTTTGTCAAGTTTGATTAGCTGTTGGTAAACAACATATGTGCTGAAGGGTTAAGCATATACTGGTACATGATGAAGTCTACAACAGACAGAAAAGAAAACAGTTTATTGGGGCAAATATTTCATTCATAATGCCAAAGTTGGGTACAGTCCACTAATTGTTTTCCCATAGGCGACAATAATAACGTTTCTTCTCATAGCGATGTCCCTAATTTTCGTTCAGAAGTGAGTGACCACTCAAATCAAACCACATCAACTTGTCTGTCCTTGGTTAAAATCTCGAGGTGGCATATAAAATTCGTTTTCCGGCAAAATGCGTTTGTCTGTTGGAACCTCTAAAAATGAAAATGAAAGTAGGGGAATTTCAGAATTGTAACTGGCGTTATAATGCACAAAATTATTCGGCTGATCTTCTTGATAAATTACATTTTCAAAGCTTTTTGGTAGGAAAGATACTCCTTATCAACAAGTGTGAGGCTCAGTTTAGTACATCTGCCCAATTTTTTTATGCAAGTCTGCAAATTAAGGAACTTGGATTTTTTCTGCACTACTTTCTTCTCCTACTGATTCTAAAAATAATCAGTGGAATGTACCCAGTTCAACAAATATGACACAATGTAAAAGAGTGCATTTGTACCAAATACTAAAAACGTATAACATTTAGCGGTGTATTCTTTTTAGCGAATTTGGTGGCAAGCAGAATCAGCTAATTCTAGTATATCACTAAATGTCTTGTATAATAATTTTATAACCAGCAACTTCAGAGAGAGCAAAATCAAACCTATGCTAAACTGTTGAAAATTGAATATCCGCCAAATATCGAGCACGCCAAATGTAATACATTTACAATACACGGGTGGTCCCCCATCCAATTTTTGCTGGTCTTGTCCAGATTTGTGCCTCATCTCATCTAGTTACAGTCTTGAGGGAAGGGGGTAAATGACTAATATCTCGTAAACCGTGGATCTATAATCCTGGATAAAAATGCCCTAGTCAATTAAAGTCCAAAGATTTAATCTGTAAGACTTTCTTCCAAGCCTTTCGGGTCCTGTGATCATGAAACATCTAAAACTTAAGTCGAAATATTATTATTAAATGTTGTGGAGGTCAAGCAGATAAACAAATTAAAATGTTTCAATATTGATTCACCAAAGTTAATTTATTAACATTTTACTTAATATAAAAACTTTGACTTAAGGTAGCAACTGGACACCTGACCCCAAAAAAACCTGTCAATAGATTTTGTTGAATTTTACACAAGGTTCATGTAAAGGGATGTGTAATGAACACTTAGTCAAAATATGAACATGGCATTGTGGGTAAATTACGGAACCAGGAGGTAATGCGTTACCTCCCCTTTCCAGTCACTCCAAAAATCATATGCATAATACAAGATAATTATTACCCTTAAAAAAATGTATTGTGCAATATGCATTCAATATCAAAAATTATTTTTAAACAGTATTGATAATATTAACTTATTTTAACAATAAATTGTCTGAACATATATAAAGTTAGAGAATAATCCATGTAGAACATTTGAAATTCGACTAATTTGACCATTTTCATGCACACAGATTTGACACTTTTAAAATTTAAAAAAAAAATCTGTCCAATAGGATTTTTTTTTATCATTATATTAAAGATCTGTCTAATACTATTCTTCGCTCAAAAATTTTGGACACATTGAAAATCATCAAACCCATGATACCGAAATAAATTAATGGTTTAGAGTAAGAAATAGGTGCTGAAGTGGGAGGGGGGTATTTTTTCCAAGAAATCCCTTTGAGAGTTTATGTATAGGTGTGGTACGTCTTTTTTAAACCTGAAACATCTTTATTTTAACATCTTTTAAGTGTATTTAAAGAAGATTCTCGTAATTTATTTTACATTTAACAAGTCGGTAGAAGCTCTAGGGTAGTGTACATTGCTATGCATACTGGAAATTTATTCAAGATTCATAGTCAAAGACATTTGACGGAGGTCAAAAAATATACAAGCCAGAAATCTCTTCTCATGGTCCACAACTATTCCCCCCTCTTTTGGTTTCCCGTCGTAAAGGTAAGAATAATAATAAGTGGCTATTCAAAAAAATGCATAGCAAATTAGGGAAAAACAACTGAAGAAATAAATCAAAAGTAAAAATCAATTGCTAATAAATGACTAAAGAAAATATTTTTTTTTATGAAATAAGAGTACATGTAGAGTAATAACTTGGAAGAGTTACCTCCCCTCTCCCCTAGAAATAAAACATGTAATTAAACCAATATTAAAATTATCCATAAAAAGTTCCTCAACAAAATTAAAATATGAATTTATATTTCAACAATAGAAACTTGAACAAAAATGTAATTTTAATTAAAAAAAACATTTAAAAATTCTTCAACAAGATCCCTTTTGATTACTTCTATGCAAACAAATACTATGTTTTCTTATAGGTTTCTAAAACATATATTGTATGACAAAAATGTCCAATACTATTTCTCGATTGAAAGGGGGTGAAATTGGAGATAATAGAAATAGACCTCTGTTAATACATGTAATTTTATGATACTCAGGCTGCATTAAGAGGTAAATAACTACATGTATTAAGTTACAGAATGGTCTAATACACCCCCTCCTTCTATGCATCTGATATTGTTTTCATTGCAATGTCAAAAATCCCCCTAACTATTAACATGTCAAATGTTTTTTTTACTTAATTTGTCCGAAAATAGATTTTCGTCATACAGAATAAAAAAAGGAATCCATCTGACAAAGCACTGCAAAATTCACAAATTTCTATTTCATAGAATAATAAGAATATTATTGAAAAAATGTGATCAGTACTCTTTCAAATTGATCAAAAGTCATTTTATTCCATGAGCAGGTAGGATAATAACATTTTATAGGCCATTCCAAGTCTTTTTTTCTGTTTGGCATCCATTCGCACCTTGGTTTTTGACACCTACATGTATCAGACAATCAAACAAAATCAGAACCTACACTTGATTATTTTTGTTGAAATCTTTGAGTTCTGTCAGTTTCTCAAATCTGTACAATAAATATGTCTTAGGTAGTTTACTTTAGGCATTTATTATTTTGATTTTGCCAAAGAATAATTATTTCTACCAGAAAAGCAGACTGATGTGTTTTATTTTTTAGTTTATATTTTTTTTTACAAATAGGTACATGTAGGTAGGTTTTTGATTGAAGGTTGGACGCTAAACAGAGAAAAAAAACTTAAAATGGGCTAAGTCTGAAACCGTCCTTGACCTGAGACATAAAATTACATAAACTATACCTAAAAATTAAAAACAAAATGACAATGCTGTACTGGGACATAACACTTGATGCAGGACATTTTATATAAAAAGTTAAAAAAAAGATTCTACATGAATATTTGGAGCAGCTTATTAAAAAGCCTTAAAAACACTCACAGTAATAATTATGCATGATAGAAAATATCTGTTGATTGGCCTATTACTGAACCCGACATCACAAGTCGACATTAAATTATGCGTACAATTTTTTTTTTAAAAAGAATAATCTACACTCTAGAGCATTGTAATACTGCACCTGACATATACAAAACATAACATAGTACATTAATCATGAAAGGCTGCATGTGGAGTGATCTATTACCACACCAGACATAAAAAAAACAGGGTAGGTAAGGGGTTAAAACTGAAAAAATCATTCTTCCGTTGAGCTGCAGAAGTTGAATCATCATCGATATGAATGGTCTAAACTTCATATTCATATACCTTGTACTCTGTACTGATGAATCTATCTGTAATTTATAAAATTTAACAAATACAATATTATCTGCAGTCAACGTCAAAATATATTTCTCACAAGGTCTATATCTTATATATAGAATTTCGGTAAAAAAAAACAACATGTGCATGTTACAGGAAAAGAGAAAATGTATGGGTGGACCGGGAATCAAATCTGAGACCCCTATTTAACTAGTCATGTGCTATACAGACTGAGCTACCATGGACGATGTATAACCATGGCCAAAACCATTACATATAACTTGCAAAAATTTACACCTCATACATGTAAATTGTCAATTTTCTACACTTATTAAATTTAGCATAGCAAAATTTAAATGATGACTTAACCATTATCACTATTATGCTGACATCAAGATCCCCTGGTCTGCTATGGGTTGGTGGTTCTATACTAGAAAGTTCCATCTTGATGGCTGAAAAAATAGATCAAATAAATATACATGTATACCAGCAAAACCAAAAATTTAATTATATTAGTTGATTGGCAAATCACTTTTTAACCAGTAAATCTAACATTAAATTAAGATGCCCTGCCTGGCCAATATTCTAACTATACAGCAGCAGTATAAATATAAAGATTTGTCAATTTCATCAGACCAGCAAACAACATGTAAACAGTTTCAATGTTTACCACACTGACTCAGTTTTTATCAGTGAAGAAAAACAAAAATATTCTGTCCAGGGTTCGGCACTAAGGGTAGTCCGCTGGCCCGCGACAACTGAATATTGAGTTTGGACTACTAAACATGCCTTTAAACTTGCCCTGCAGGGCTACTGTAAATACCAAACTGAAACACTCACTCAGAGCAACAAAAAAAAATTATATAATTTACACAAAATTAACCTGATTATTGATAAATTAATTTACTTTTCAAACATGTTTTATCCTAAAAGTTATTTTTGTAAGTCAAAATGTAAATACTGTAAAGGTGAATCGAAATACCCTAAATGATTATAAAATGTGGAATTTTTTTAATAGAAAAATATCTTAGGTACATTATCTGACAAAAATTTGGCCTCAAGTGATCTTGGAAATAAAAATAAATTATCTGTCCCTCACTGTAAATACATAATCTGACACCCATGAAATTTTCCCCTCCCTCCCATCCCTATCAAAT